CTCCTCCTCCTCCTCCTCCTCCTCTGCCTCCTGTTCCTTCCTCTCCATCCTCTCCCCTCCTCCTCCTTGTCTTCCTCCTCCTCGACCTCCCGCTCCCTCCTCCCTCCTCTCCCTCCCCGCCCCTGCTCGCCCTGAATGGAGCACCCCTCGCGCCGAGCCCCTCGTCGCACACACCTCCTCCCCTGGGGCCCCGACGGTCGGCATCCCCCGTCTGGTGCTGCCCTGCTCCCCCCACGAGGCCCCACGTCTGGGGCGGCGGCCAGTAGCAGACCCCGCAGGCGAAGACCAGGAAGGCCACGACCCCTCGGGCAGAGGAAACCGCTGCGGACACAGAGCTCCGACTGCACGTGACTTTGCGATCCTGGCACTTCTCCCCGGCCCGTTCGCGCGCCCCGGGACCATCGGGCAAGGGGTCGGCACCCCTGGGACTGCGCCGTGAAGAATCACACCCGTCGGATGCCTGGGGGGGCACGGAGGAGTTGCGGGGGATGATGCCGAGCTGGGTACAGTGGAGGCCCGACCACAAGAAACCCAACCCTGAGACCCCAGGACATCCATCGACTTTTGGTGAGGGAAGGTCGCGCTGTCCACGGCAAAACCATCGAAATCCAAGAAACCTAGGGCACCCTAAAGGCAAGCAGGATGTTTCTTGGCATGGGCCCCCACTGTAGTTCCCAGCTCATGAAGCCAGTGGGCCGGCAGCGGCAGGCCTGCGAGAAGCAGGCGCGCGTGGGGGGAGGGAGGGGCCGCTCTTCCTGGCCCGCGGCGAGGGCGGCCGCCAACGCGTGCGGAGGGCCAGCGGGCCAGACTGGAGCTGGGCCACACAGGGCACACGTTCGACCATGGACCACTCGTTTACCCCGAGCGGCCTCTGGCGGTCGTCGGAGCAGCCTTGCAGCGGTCGTTTGCGGGTCTTCCGGCGGTCTCCGACGTTCTCCTGAGCGAAAGCTGGATGGCTGCACCTCCTCCCCCTCCTCCTCCTCCTCCTCCTCCTCCTCCTCCTCCTCCTCCTCCTCCTCCTCCTGCTCCTCCTCCTGCTCCTCCTCCCCCTCCTCCTACCCCCCTCCGCCTCCTCCTCCTCCTCCTCCTGCTCCTGCTCCTCCTCCTCCTCCTCCTCCTCCTCCTCCTCCTCCTCCTCCTCCTCCTCCTCCTCCTCCTCCTCCTCCGCCTCCTCCGCGTGAGCGAAGGCTGGGCCGCACAGTCGAACACCTGAGGTATGTGGGGAGGGTCGTCGAATCTCGCCTGGCGGCCACCAGAGCGCTGGCGGCAGAGGCAGCCGCGCTCGCGCGCTCGGCAGGCTGCGGTGCCCACAGAGCACTGCGGGGCAGATATCAGGAGGAGGAAGACAAGAAACCCGAAATTATCCTGGCGAAGGACCCGACCATAAGCAATTGTTCGTAACGCGTTGTGGGTGCCGCTTTCGGTGGAGCTCCCTATGGGGCCACGAAACGCTGCCCTGGATGGGGGAACCGCATGCGAGAGCAGCCACTGGGAGCTTCGGTGGAGCTCCCTATGGAGCCACGAAACGCTGCCCAGGGTGGGGGAAACGCTTGCGAGAGCAGCCACTGGGGCCTTCGGTGGAGCTCCCTATGGGGCCACGAAACGCTGCCCAGGGTGGGGGAAACGCATGCGAGAACAACCACTGGGACCTTCGGTGGAGCTCTCTGTGGGGCCACGAAACGCTGCCCAGGGTGGGGGAAACGCATGCGAGAGCAACCACTGGGGCGTTCGGTGGAGCTCCCCATGGGGCTACGAAACGCTGCCCAGGGTGGGGGAAACGCATGCGAGAGCAACCACTGAGGCATTCGGTGGAGCTCCCTATGGGGCCACGAAACGCTGCCCAGGGTGGGGGGAAACGCATGCGAGAGCAACCACTGGGACCTTCGGTGGAGCTCCCTATGGGGCTACGAAACGATGCCCAGGGTGGGGGAAACGCATGCGAGAGCAACCACTGGGACCTTCGGTGGAGCTCCCTATGGGGCTACGAAACGCTGCCCAGGGTGGGGGAAACGCTTGCGAGAGCAACCACTGGGGCCTTCGGTGGAGCTCCCTATGGGGCCACGAAACGCTGCCCAGGGTGGGGGGAACGCATGCGAGAGCGACCACTGGGAGCTTCGGCGGAGCTCCCTATGGGGCTACGAAACGATGCCCAGGGTGGGGGAAACGTATGCGAGAGCAACCACTGGGGCCTTCGGTGGAGCTCCCTGTGGGGCCACGAAACGCTGCCCAGGGTGGGGGAAACGCATGCGAGAGCAACCACTGGGGCCTTCGGTGGAGCTCCCTATGGGGCTACGAAACGTGTGAGAGGTGTGCCGAGTGCAGATGCAAGGAGGGGGAGGAGGGAGGAGGGGGAGGAGGAGGAAGGAAGGAAGGAGGTGGGACGCGGAGCGCTATCTCTTCAAAACGAGGACCCAACACCACAGGATGGTTGGGAAATATGGGAAAGCATGGAGCACCCGGTGATCCGTGCTTCTTGATTCGTGTGTCCCAGGGCCCCTTCAAAATATGCAAGGTGGCAGGATGATGCACTGGCTTGAAATGAACAGGTCCAGAGTTGGCTTCTCCTGGGTCCCACGGCTCCTCCCGGGCGCCGTTGTCTTATCCCGAGTCGTTCCTGCTGCAGGCCCGGTGTCCGCGGAGGGGCCCCTGAAGCCGTAACCTCCGCGAAAAAACTCGGGACCTGCTTCCCTCAGAACACCCTTCCTCCTCCTCCTCCTCCTCCTCCTCCTCCTCCTCCTCCTCCTCCTCCTCCTCCTCCTCCTCCTCCTCCCCTCCTCCTCCTCCTCCTCCTCCTCCTCCTCCTCCTCCCTCCTCCTCCCTTTCTCCTCCTCTTCTCCTCCTCCTCCTCCTCCTCGTCCACCTCCTCCTCCTCCTCCGCCTCCTCCTCTTTCCCCCGCCTCCTCCCCCCTCGCTCTCCCTCCTCCCCCTCCTCCCTGGCCCTCGCTTATCTTCGCGGCGAATGAGGTGGACCAGACCACCCCACCTACGTCCCCACGGGCCGTAGCATATACCATGACTTCCAGCTCGGGCATCTGCGTGGTATACGCCACGGCCCCCGACAAGACGCAGCGCAACATGGAGGGACGTAGGCAAAAGAGCCCAGAATCGAATCGACAAGTCGGATCGGCGATCGAAATGGATCGGATCGGCGGAAATCGGCAGCCAAGTCGAGAAAAGTCGAATCGGCGGACATCGACAGGCTAGTATGCCTCCAATGCGACATCGGCACCCAAATCGGAATCCCGAGTCGGACCAGATCGGGATCGAAAGCCATCGAAGTCGAATCGACTCGAAGCGGAGGAATCGAAGCGAGCCCTGGTGGGTGGGGTGGTGTCGTTTGTTTTTCGGTCGCTGTGGACCTCCTACCTTTAGGTCGGGCCTGTCCCCCTACAGGGAGATTTTGATCGAAAAATGCAAGATACTCAAAAATTTCTCAAAAGATGTGTCCAAAAATATTCAAAACATAGTCCCCAGACTATGTTCTGACTATTCTTGAATATTCCCCCTGTAGAGGGACAGGCCCGACTTAATCCTGCCTTGACTGAAAGGCCCAGGTCGGAGGCAGCACCGCCGGGGACGACGCCCAGCAGCCGAGCGCTGCCCCGAGACGGAGGCGCGGCGGCCGACGACCGCACGGCCCGCGCGCGCAGAGCTGGGCGGAGCCACGTCCGCCGCGGAATCGACAGCCGGTTTCGCGCGCGTACTTCTCTCAAGATGGTCAAAGGTGCTCCAAGTGAAGGGGCCCCAGGACACACAAATGAATGCACACAAATATAAAAAGATTCCCCATGTGTTCCTACATGTTGGGGGCTTGCGTCTCTCCCCCCCGAAACCTCCCATGCTTTCCCATATTTTCCTGGGGAGCCGACGATTCATTGTCTGTGTGTGTCTTTTCCCCTCCTGCCTCCTGACCCGAGAGAGGGTCCAGATCTGTTCCGGCGCTGGCCTCGCCGAGAGGCATATATGCACTCGCCCGAGCGGTGCCGAGGCCCCCTGTTTCGAGGACGCCCCCCCGGCGCCACGCAGCTCCGGGAAGACATCCATAGGGGGCCACGTGCGAACCCTACCCGTAACCCCACGCGAAGGGGGAGGGTGGGGTAGGGTGGGGTTCGCTTCGCTCGGGAGCTCCCGCACGAAGAGAAGCCCCCTGTTTTGAGGACGCCCCCCGACGCCACGCATTTCTGGGGAGATATCCATAATTAGGGAGCCGAGCCGAGCAGGGAGGCGAGCGCCGCAGGCCGCCCCGGCCGGGCGGGAGCACCCGGCCGTGCGGCCGAAGAGCCGAGGGCCTCGCCGTCGCTCGGGCGGAGTGGTGCAGCCCTCACGTGCGGCCTCCGCCTGCACGAGTCCAGGCCTCCTGGATGGGGTCCGACTAGGTGGGGTCGGAGGGTCGCGCCGCATCGCCGATGCATCGCCGGTGCTAGGGGGGGCCACGTGCGAACCCTACCCCTACCCCCCACGATTTCTGAGGGGGAGGGTGGGGTTCACTTCGCTCGGGAGCTCCCGCACGAAGTGGAGCCCACCCTCCCCCTCAGAAATCGTGGGGGGCAGGGGCAGGGTTCGCAGGTGGCCCCCTAATCAATGCTCTCGGCGCCCCCGCCACGCGCGAACCCTCTTCAAAGGAGCCGGAGCTCTCGGTGGCAACTCACGGGAGCCTCCCATACCATCTTGTCGGCTCCTGCGAATCGGCGCTAATCGACGCTGCATCGGGGCTGATCGATGGTGAATCGACACTAACCGACGCTAAATCGGCGCTACGCTATCTCATCAACTCTAGACGCCAATCGACGCTAGTCGCCGCTAAGGACGAAGGGTATACCAGGCTCCCATGATTGGCTACCGAAGGAACTGAAGTCGGCCACAACAAGGCAGAAGAGCCACTTTAATGAAAAGCATCCCGGGGAACGAGTGGCACAGGGCAGGACTATACAGTAAACGCCCAGGACTTTCGAGTAAACGCCGACTATCGCTGTCGGGGTGCTTCTTCCTCCCTTGAATCGTCGTCCCCGTCTGCTTCGTCGCGTCCACCTCGACCAGAGGCTCGGGCACCCCGAAGAAAGAGGCTGGCCGTCCACTCTGGATGTGTGTTCGCCCTCCGTTCTGGAGGTCGCTTCCTAAACTTATGATATTTCCCGAATCACGCGTGCACTCAGGGGGTCTGGCTTGTGCTCAAAGTGGGCAAAAATTGATAGGAGCGATCAGTGTGGGGGAGGGAGCGGCGAAAGGTACACTTTTTGGACCCAAGAGGCCCCCTTTGGGGCGGCCCGAAATAGAGCACTCCTTGATAGGGTCGGAGTAGATGG